GGTTTCAGCTGGGATGGAGTTAATTTTCTTCCTAGTAGCTGGTATAGTGCTGTGTTCTGGATCTAGGATGAGAATAACGTGGATAACACACTGATATTTTTGTTGTTGCTGAGCAGCACATGCACTAAGTCAAGGACATTTCAGCTTCTCACACTGTCCTGCCAGCGAGTAGGCTGGGGGTGCACAAGAGGCTGGGAGAGGACACAGCTGGGACAGCTGACCCAAACCAGCCAAAGGGATATTCCATACCATGTGACGTCATGCTGAACAGTAACACTGGGAGGGGAGTTGTCTGGAGGGTGGCAGCCACTGCTCCAGACGGGCTGGGCATCAGTCAGCAGGTGGTGAGCAGTTGCATTGTGCATCACTTGTGCGTGTTCTTTTATTGTTATTATTCTCCCTTCCTTTTCTGTCTTATTAAATTGTCTTCATCTCAAAACATGAGTTTTACCTTTTTTCTGATTCTCTCCCCCGTCCTAATATGGGGGCAGAGTGAGCAAGCGACTGTGTGGTGCTTAGTTGCCAGCTGGGATTAAACCACGGCAACCACAAGGTACCTCACTCTTCTGAGCCACCTGAGCACCTGCTGTGTGTGTCACAACCAAACCCTTCCAGAGCAATTCAGCATCCAGTGCATTTTATTTGCCTTGTTTCCTTATTTAGATTCTGTGCCTGACATAGGCAATAACATTTAATTGTTGCTTCTTCTGCCTCCATTTCTAATGCATTCCAGTTGACCTCTCAGAATAAGCAGCATAGAATCATGTGTTCCCTAGCAGCACCTCACCATCCCTGTTTCTGCTATACCAGCACACCAGATTTGCCTGAAAAACAGCTGTCATGTGGAGCTTGAAAGGTTAGTGGCTGAGATTAAAATATTTGTTAAGTATTATACTGTTGAAATGCCACCAAATGCATTTGCTTTAAGGAGTCCTCAGGAGCTGGATAAAGTTCTTTGATTCCAGTTGCGTGTTGTGTTTTCATTGACACCTCATTAAGGTGAAATGAAGGGACATAGTTGATGCTTTTGCACATTTGGTGTTAATGTCTGTAAAACTGTCTGACTGCTGCAAGGGTATGTTGACTTACGTAAAGAAAGACTCGCATAATGCAGGATATACAGGAAATGGGATTACTGGTCTAGTGGCAACTGAGTACAGAAGGTCATGTAATGGATAAATTTCTGAGATTATTTCACTGGTTATGATGTAGAGTGTTTCAGGGGAGACAAAAAGAAACAAATTTAAGAAAAAACCTACCTATCATAACAGGGAAATGAACTGAATGAACTGTTCTTTAAAAGTAATGCTTCCCATAGTGTTATGAAACTATTAAAAGCTATCAGTGAATAGAAAATGTGATGCTGCTGCGGTCATCTCTTAAGACAGTATTTACCACTTCTCTTTTTATTTTTTTAATTTATTTTTTTTAACCTGAGTTTCACTTGTCCTTGTCGTTGCTGAATCCATTGTAATCTATGTGGACAAATGTGTGAATGATGCCATTGGAGAGGTCTGTGTGAGTGAAGAGAATGGGGCCATGGCACCAGCTTAAGCACTGGCCTAAGGCCCTGCTTAGTTGTTAACACAATTCCTGGCATGGTTTTTGGCCATGCCATTTAGCTTTCTGCTAGATAATGTGTGAATGTAGTGTGGGCTAGCAGAGTTTTTTCAGTTGACAGTTTGGATGCAGCCACTCTGTCTTGGAAGAGAAGAGAAGCATGTGCATATGAGCCAGACCACAGTGCTTACTCTCAGAAACAGACAATGTTCTTTAGCCGATTTTAGTTATTTGTAAATATGCAGCACCTAGTTCCAAGTCAAAATCAGACAGCGATCTGTCTATTGGCAGTGTCTCTTTCTTTGCTTCTTAATTGCTCTAATCTGTAGATGGAGATCTTGTCTTTTAAAGTTCGTGGTAGAACAAGGAGATCAGATTTATGGAAGAAGAAGCAAGTGATGTACACTTCTCCTCTCATCTATCTTTGCGAAAAGTTCCAGGAAGAAGATATGAATATATGATGTAGAAAGGATGATAGAGTCATAGGATACTTCAGATTGGAAGAGGTCTGATGTTCCATCCAAGGAGGGCCACATATGAGATCACACCAGGTTGCTTAGTGTTTTATCCAATCAGATCGTGAAAATCTTCAAGGATGGAGTCTGCGTAGCCTCTCTGGGCAACCTGCTCCATTGCTTGACTGTCCTCCTGGTGAAAAAGATTCTTCTTATATGCAGTCTGAACCTATCTTGTTTCAATTTATGATTATTGTCTCTCATCTTCCCAACATGCAGCACTGTGAAGAACCTGGCTCCGTCTCCTTGATAACCTCCCTGTGAGTGCTGGGGGGCTGCTGGTAGATATCCCCCAAAGCCATCTTTTCTCCAGGCTGGAAAAACTCCAGTCCTGCAGCCTCCGCTCCAGGATGCATGCTCCAGCCCCTGACCAGCTGAGTGGCCCTTTGCTGAATTTGCCTCGGTTTATCAATGCATATCTTTCACAGGAGAATCCAAAACAAGACACAGTACACGATACCATCTAATTAGTGTTGAGTAGAGTGGAATAAATATCACCCTTGATCTACTGACTGTGTTCCTGGTAATACAGCTCAGGATGCTGTTGCCCTGTTTTGCTGCCAGGGCGCACTGTGGGCTCCTGTTAAGCTCGCTGTGTGCCAGGACCCCCAGGGCCTTTTCTGCAGGACTGCTCTCCAGTCAGAAACCTTGAAGAAGGTTGCTTCTTTCCAAGTAGAGGTTTTTGCATCTGTCCTTACTGAAGAGGCCTTGAGGCCCATTCCTCCAGTCTGTGTGGGTCTCACTGAATGGCAGCCCTGACTTTGAGTGTATTGACTGACCCCCAGTCCAATGTAATCTGTAAACTTGGTGAGAATATACTCCAGCTCATTGAGGAAGACACTAAACATGACACACTCCAGAATAGATCCCTATGATCCTCCACTTGTCACTGTCCTCCAGTTGGAGTATGACCCATTATTCACTGCCTGATGAGTCCTATCATTTCAAAGGTACTACAGAAATCTATGTGCAGAGAGAAATAGCTTTTGTGTAATTGCAGGGTTTCTGGGAGGTGTTTTCCGGTTCAGTTCCAAAAGTTTAGATAAATAGATAAATGTTAATCCATCATGCCTTTCCTACAGCAGATGGAAGTGATCAGAATTACACAACTATATACACCTATCATGAAGCTGTTCTGCTTGAATGGGACTTGATTCTGAGTAATCACTGGTCGCATTGAATAGTCTCTAATGAAAGTCATTGCTTCATAATGTCTTTAATTTTTGCTGCTTATCTGAAGGTGGAATGTAGAAAACTAGATTTCATCCTGCTTTGGAAATAGTGTGTGTTCGTAGCTGAAGGATGTTTCAAAGAAATAGTTGTATTGTTTAGTCATTGGCGTACATTATGCTGTTCTCTTGAATTTTTGGTTGCCTTTAGGACTTCTGTTTTAGAATTCGTGTACTTCAGAAGTCTTAAATCCAATCTTTATTACAAAACTTTCTGTGAAAAAACAAGAATACTTTTTATTTCAGCATGCATGTTATTTTTCACTTACTGCAGCAATGGCTCCGTTCTCCCTTTTAATGATTATCGGAGAGTCTGTTAACAAACAGATCCATCTGCTGCTTCTCTAGATGAATGGCTCGATAACAGCAATTCGATTTGAAACCAGGGCTTCTCTACCATATTTACGTTTTTAGTGTTTAGTCTCAGTTGTTGATGTAAGTAAGATATCTACCTAAGAGGCAGGCAATCTATGTATTCTTTGCATAATCTTTTATGAGCACACTATGATAATCACATATTGCATGAACAAATCAAGAATTGTTATTAAACCGTAGTAATGTGAGACCTGGTGCTCAACTGACTCCCCATTTTGCAGCAATCCATGAGAACAAAACCATACAAAGCTTTTTGAAAATATGTACATTGACTGCTGTTTTCCCTTTTCTAAACTTTGTCAAGAGTTTTTCATTTCCATCTATGATTAATTATTCATTCAGCGTGTTCTTGGCAGTTGAAAAAAGCTCATTAGCTGTTCAGAAAGCAGTGCTTAGTATTGTAGGGGCTGACAACATAGTACTGGTATAACTTTCTAATCCTTTAGCTATCTCTTGGCTATCTCTTTGTATGTACATAAATACTACATTCAGGAAGGAGAGTAAGAAGAACAGATTTGTTTTCAGGAAACATGGATTAAAACTGGGACAGGTGAGTAAAAGACTACTAGGACAGAATGGAGAGCACACCATAAGCAAGGAGGCTGAAGAGTTGCGTTAATCTAAAATGGAGGAGAATAGAAATTATTTGTCTATCTACATATACACACATAGTATATAGGCTTTGAACAATAGGAAAGCTGAAAAAAACCTCAAGATAAATGGTAGTGTCGGCACTGGAACAACTACGTTATTCCTGGATATTAATACATTTCTGGAAGTGTCAGTTGTTTCAAGCAGAGTGGTAGATGAAACTCATGTGATGGTTTGATGTTGGGGGGGGAGGTTCTGGTGGCAGGAGCTGGCCACTAGATCGGACTCCCATCCCCCTCGGGGTTTGAGCCAATCATCGTTGCCTCTGCGAATTGCCTTATTTAAGTTGGGACAAAGGAACTGGAAAGGTGTGCCTTTGCCCAGGAGTGAGGAGAGGGGAGGGGGGCACGGCCTCTGCTCCCCAGCCGGGCGGCTGCCCGCACTGGGCTGGCACCACCCACTGAGGATGGTGGCAGCAGAGCTGCTTGGGGAACTCGGGGAGCACCCCGCTCCCGGGGTGCCCACCAGGCCGAGTTCACCCAGAGAGGACTGAGATCTGAGAGAAACGGCCACACAGACACCAGGTCAGTGAAGACGGAACGGGACGAGGTGTGCTGGAGCTGAGTTTCCCCTGCAACTGGTGGCGAGATGGCAGGCGGCCCCCTTGCAGCCATGACGGTCTCGGTGGAGCAGAGACCCGCTTGCAGCCCATGGAGAACCCACATCAAAGAAGAGATGCTGGGGGTTGAACCCAGGGCCTCTTACATGCAAAGCAAGCGCTCTCCCATTGAGCTACATCCCCCTGCATGAAGTTCAACAAGGCCAAGTGCAAGGTCCTGCACGTGGTCGGGGCAATCCGAAGCGCAAGTACAGACTGGGCGGAGAATGGATTGAGAGCAGCCCTGAGGAAAAGGACTTGGGAGTGCTGGTGGATGAGAAGCTCAGCATGAGCTGGCAATGTGCGCTGGCAGCCCAGAAAGCCAACCGTATCCTGGGCTGCATCAAAAGGAGCATGGCCGGCAGGCCGAGGGAGGTGATTCTGCCCCTCTACTCTGCTCTCGTAAGACCCCACCTGGAATACTGTGTTCAGCTCTGGAGTCCCCAAAGCAAGAAGGACATGGAGCTGCTGGAGTGAGTCCAGAGGAGGGCCACGAAGATGATCCGAGGGCTGAAACACCTCTGCTATGAAGACAGGCTGAGAGAGTTGGGACTGTTCAGCCTGGAGAAGAGAAGGCTCCGGGGTGATCTTGTTGTAGCCTTCCAGTACTTAAAGGGGGCCTACAGGAAAGCTGGAGAGGGACTTTTTACAAGGGCATGTAGTGATAAGACAAGGGGCAATGGATTTGGGTTGAGAGAGGGCAGATTTGGATTGGATATGAGGAAGAAATTTTTCACTCAGAGGGTGGTGAGACAGTGGACCAGGTTGCCCAGAGAGGTTGTGGATGCCCCATCCCTGGAGGTGTTGGGGGCCGGGTTGGATGAGGCTTTGGGCAGCCTGGTGTAGTGGAGGGTTTCCCTGCCGATGGCAGGGGGGTTGGAACTAGATGATCTTTGAGGTCCCTTCCAACCCTAACCATTCTATGATTGTATGATAAGACAGGACTTCAAAACAGAGCTTACCATAGTCATATGACATGGTTGTATATAAAGCCGATGGGCTGGACTGTTTGCTCTTTTGCATCCTTATGCTTGGAAGTTATAAATTCAAGAATGTGAAGGATAGAAGAGGAACATTTATGTTACCAGGGAAAGAATAATTCAGCTGTTGCATGTCCCAAGCATACGCAGATCGCCAGGTTAAGTTTGCTCAGGCAACCATAAATCATCTGGCAGACATAATTTTGTAGCGTAAACTTCTCTTTTTTTTAAATGCAAAGTCGTCATGCAATTTTACATTGCATTTTTTTTTTAAAAAGTCCTCCTTTACAGAAAAATATCTGTTTCTCCCATATGCTTGAACTTCATCTGCAACTGTGAGATAATGAAAGAAGAGAGACAATCAGCATGCTAAGAGGAGAGAGAGAGACCAGGTTCTTAGGCTGGGACATGTTTGAGGAGCTTGGCATAGCTCAGATTTCCCCACTCCCACTTGCATCTTGCCTTCAGAAGAGGTAGTTCTAGGTGGCAAAACTGGGGAAGTAGCGAGGGCACCAAGCACCTCTTTAAAATAGTCTTGTTGTAGAATGTCAAGATTTCTTCTGAGCTTGCGAGTGAGGGAAGAGGAAATGATGACAGACATATGTATCAGGAATATCGCTGGAGGAAATAAAAGGCATTTTCTAAAGCTTAGAAAGTTTCTTCCTACTGAACAATGAATGCAAATAGACTTTGAAAAACTGTATAAGAAGTAGAAGAATAGCAGGCAACATGTATTTTGGAAATGTACTACCAGTCCCATTTCTAATCACAAAATAAACCAACCCCAAAAACACCCCAAACACCTATTTTCCACTGAATGAAAATTTTAGGTCAGTTGACATTTAAGAATGATAATGGAATGTGCCTTATTGATGACAAAGATTTTCAGAGCCGTAAAAGGAACCTACGCCATTTCCACTTCCTGGAGAGAGAACTGAGTATTCAAAATCCTGTAGAGAGAGTAAAACCCTCAGTTTGTTTTGATCTGACCTAAACTGATACATATTGAACGTTTAGTTTGTACATCTCCTTTTGCACACTGTTTAATTTTATGCTTTAACATTGGCACTGTATTATCCTATTGCCTTCCTCTTTTTCTGACTCTTTCTCCCCTTTTGATTGCGTACCCTATACTACTCAGGGGAAGCTGGTTTTCTGGGGGATATTTATGGGACAAGACTACGCACTGTGGACCTTTTTTCAATGTGCTACCTTCTCAGTGACATGTCAGCTGATAAGTATTGCTTGAGATCAAAGATGCCTGATTAAAGAGTCTAGTAAGTGACACAGTGCCCTTGAGAATGGGCTAAAGGTACTATCTAATCCTTGTCAGTGAAGATGGTCGTAAGGATTTGTAAGAGATGCAGTAGCTGGCCAAGAATGAAGGCCACAACAAAAACGTACGTGGAAATGCCCAACTCCGTCCCTGTAGTAGCTCTACTGAAACTAATACAGTTAACTGTTGAGTGAGCTGTTCTATTGTGTGTAGCCCATACAATTACTTCACTAGATGATGAGAACTTAATTAACTGACTGAATTTTCAGCATAGTTTCTCTGACACTTCAAACAGATTTTCTGCTGATCGGTAACATATTTGAACATTGACTATGTATTACTAAACTCCGTCTCTTTTCCTCTTTCTCGCGTGGCATCCCTTTAAATATCTAAAACAAAAAAGCATATAACATTGTGTCTAACATGACCTCTTTGTCCTTTTGTTCCCTTCCTCACATGGCCACTTCGGTACATTCTGTCCTCTAACACAGAAACGTGAGGCATAAGCGTCTCAGCCTTGATGGGAGAACAAGTAATACCCATTAACATTAAAGAGATTTCAACATATGGCTTGAGGTTTCCCCGGAGATACTATAGAAATTTAATTGAGGTCATCATTAATTTTGATCCGTTCCTTCAACTGAAACCTCGAGCTAAACCAGCCGCCTTCTTTGAAATGCCTGGTCTCTGCAGATGTATGTATTTCAACTGTCTTTTAACTAATTCGTTTTCTCCCTGATGAAAAAATTATGAATTGGAGGAAATGGGACCATTTAATCAGTGGAAATAAATACATAGCATACTTCTGAGTTAGTGTGAGGACTGTGTGGCACCCTGGGTAGTCAGCAGTTAGAGTGGTGGATTTAACTGCAGTGATTTGAAACTTTACTGTTCCTAGTTGTCTGCTCTGCCCTTCTGCCAGATGTCACCGCCTTCTTGGCAGCAGTGAGACAATGGGCCATTTGCCTGCACTTCAACCAGTCCAGACTACAGTCCAGCACTTCACGTTGCTGATGGGCACTGTTGGCTGGGATGTTCCCTGGGGATGCTAAGGTGCAGTCATGTCTTCTTCTACCTCTGTTAGTGTTCGAAGTAGTGTAGTTGGAAGCAAGAACATCTAAGGACTTTGCTGGAGTCCTTTAACATACATTTGCAATAGTAAGGAAAAAGTAGTGTTCTTAATTTGGGTTAGCAAATCTAAGTTAGCTAACTCAAGTAAGAACAGCAGAGTTGGTGATAAAATTAAAATTTCAACCTGGGCAGTAGAAGTGCTAAAATTTATAGGGTGTTTGGGGTCAAAAAAAGTAGACTGCCAGCTGAAATTAAAGCCAAGTTGACCTAGTCTTCATTACTCTTTTGGTAGTTACCAGTTTACTTGGGTTAATCAAACTTAAGACAGAACGTTTTGTTTTGTTTTAATGCAGGCATATATTTAAAGAATTGAATTTGCTTAGTTTATGATGAATATTTAAATCTGGCTTTTTGTATAAAAATATCCGACTAACATTGTATAAGTATCTCTTGGGCTGGAAAATGTGTAATAGGAAAAACGTCTTTAAAATAGCAGATAAAGAAAAGCTCATAGTAGAAAGCTGAAGCAAAACGATTCAAATTAGGGGTATGGTTTTAAAGGAAGGACGTAAGTATCTGCTGGAACAAAATTCCATGAGAATGGATAGATTTTTGGTTTTCATGTCTTCAAATCCAAACTGGATGTTTTCCTGGGAGATGCGTCTTAGCCCAATGAAAGTTAGGCTTTAGTCAAGCGTGAGTTACAGACAAGCTTTTTCAGTAAAACTAAGCTGGTTTGATAAAATGTAAAGTCCTACTACATAAAGTCACAGCAGATGATGGAATGGGTTATTCTGACAATAGTATCTATATGTGTGAAGCTACTTAGAAAATGGAGAAAAGCAATGAGAAATTACAGGTTTTACACTTTTATGAATAAACACCGCTGTTTATGTTATGATAAGCCTCTCTAAAGTACACGCAGCCAGTCTACTTCTCATCTCATTTACACCCATTAAATGAACCTGATTTACCTTCTGGTGAAACCAAAAGAAACCTTTTTTATTCCCTGCTGATTTTAATAAACATCTCACATCCTATTGATGTTGATGATGTAATATTGCATTTCAGATAGGCAGGGGACATTTGGTATTAGTAGTTTTCAAGTAACACTTGCAGGAAGGTAATTTCAGTGAAAAATTGAGAGTTTGCATGCCATGAAATAGACAGAGTAATCAATACTTACACGTGCTGTCTGGAGCTGTTTTTTGCTTTATGGGTACTTTCCTCTCCCTGTTCAATATTTCTGAATTTTCATAAGTCTCCAGCTCATCCAGGATTACACTTATCAGCAATCCCACCACCTCAGGCAGTGTTTCATTTCCAGTGTTCCGGGGTTCTTGGAGTTGAGGTTTTCCATTTGATTTTTACAAAAGGAATATTTCATCCACTGTACCATACAGAGTGCTGCTACTGCCTGGCAAGGCACACAGTTGGCTCCTAGATGTGCTCTCTCATCTCCTACAGTGATATTATTGTCATGAAGAAAACATCCCTCAGTGGACAAATCCTTCTAGTTTGAGTTCCAGATTGCCACTGGTTGATACATCACAGCTATATTAGCCCTGCCTTGGATCCCAGCTTGTGACAAGGTGGGATACTGATGCCTTCGCTTGTGAATTGTGACTGTAACCCTTACAGTGTACTGTACAGCTGTATTTACTGTACAGCAAACAGGCTCAAACATGTAGTATGTTATTTTTTATTTACAAATAGTAACCAGGCTTGGACATTTAGTATTTCTGATGGAATAGTTTGCTTCTTTCTTCTTGCTTCATTATTAGTTGGGTTAAGTGTGGTAATAAATTTGAAGCTTG